ACTTCTCTCTTTATACCTCGCTTCCTATTCTTCGTACGAGTAAGTTCTAGCTAAGCGGTGTGATATAGGCACGTGATGTGGGCACGTGATACAATCACGTGCTTTCACTCTACGGGCGCAGCCCATTACAATATTACTATAGAGCTATAATACTCTTCGTGCTACTATAGATTTAGAAGCTTTCTATCTATTTTATAGTGTTTTTTAGTAGTAATACTACCTTATAGTTTATTAATTTTATAATATAAAAGCTTATTTTAGATCTATAATAAATATAGCGCCTATTTAAGCTATTTAGCTATATTTTTTAATATATCTAATATAGTAGCGTTAAATAATTTTAATAGATCTCTCTAGCTATCTCTATTACCTATCTCTCTAATTTATATATCTATATCGTCTCGTAGTAGTAGTGTTTTAAAGCGTTTTATTATAACGTTAGGATTACGCGGATAGATCTTAGTAGCTTAAAAACTAGCTAATATATTATTAGTTATAAAAGTAGATATATTTACTACCTAAAATAAGTATAAGAAATTACTTTTTTATATATTAATTAAATCTTAATTATTATAGATTAGATTAGTAAGCTAGGAGCTATACGCGGCCGCTAGAGGTAAGTATATACTAACGTTAAGTAGCTAGAGGCTATAAGTAGCGTAAGATAGTAATACTATAAGAATTATTTAATAGGTATAGTAATAATTAATAAATAAAGGCGTAAGGTAAGTACTATATCTATTAATAATTAGTATTCTATAGTTACGTTTTACTTTCTTCTTTATAAGCTAATTAAATACCTATTTAACCTAAGCTAGCGTAAGGTTATTATTACTCTATCTAGATAGGCTACTATAGTAAAAAACTTAGTATTTTCTAACCTCTAGGTTCTATAGCTATTTAGTATAAAGCCTAGCTACTCTCTTATAGATTATTATAGGGTCTACTAAGCTTCTATTAGCGTAAATATAGCTAATAATTATTATCTAATCTCTACTCCTATCTTAGAGTAATTACTATACTTTCTTTCTATTCTAAAGCTCTCTTAAAAAGATTCTTTTTAATAGTAAGATATAGCTAAGTAAGAAGCCCTTCTTATCTATATTATAGATATTATATAGCGCGACGTTATGTTAATTAAGCTTAGTATAAAGGAGATTAAAATATAATTAATAGTTAGCTTAATCGTTAGCTAGATAATAGTTATAGTTAATACTAGTAGATTTTTTAGTAAATATTTTGTTGTGGTAATATAATAAAAACTAAGTAACCTAGCTATTAGAGAGCTTCTATACTATAATAACCGCTATATAATTTTTTACTATAGCTTAGGAAGGTAGTAGGCCGCGTTCTAAGAGTTTTTCTATATATTTCACGAGCTTAGATTCTTATAGTAGAGTAAGTAATTAGCGTTTTTTTATAGCTGCCGTTCGCGACTATGTTTTATTTTAGTGCCGCCGCGTTAATATTATAAGCTTAACACTAAACTTTTTTATAGCTGCGCGATATGAAAGTTGACCTTCTACATCTTGCGAATTAATTGCTGCAATCGCTTCTTCGATAGCTGTCATGGTGGTGGAGATATCACGTGTTGAAAATGATGGGTGGATATTTTGATAGGGCGGCTGGTGTTGCATTGGCTGAACTGTTGCATTGGGTGAGCACGGACGGTATTCCGAATCTTGGTTAGTGTCGCGTGGCGTTCCAGAGATCCAATGGCGCATTTGGGTACTTACTACGAAACCGGCAATAACAGCTAAGATGGCCGCTGAGGATGAAGCAAACTGCAGCATGCCCAGAGGTGAATTGTATGCTGCACTATTGTGACAGTCCTCGTCTCAGGCCACTGTAAGGGCTGAGCTTGCATATATATTCATTCCGTAGCTCAATACTAGTCACAGGTGGTTGGAAGCGGAGCGTGGTTCGGACCAAATTGCGAACCACCACACGATGTACTGGCTTGCAAGCTGATTTTTCCGAATCTCTCATTGGAGCGCTCTTTTTCCCACTCGATTCATACGCCCGCTTCCTCGTTCTGAGGGCAGGATATCGAAGTTGAGAAGTTCAAGTGCAGGCGCATCTTAAAAAGAGTTTCTTTTCGCACAGTGCTCTCAACCTACTAACACAAAACTGTGCAATGTGACCAACGCACTTTTACTTTAGTCAATGCCTCCTCCATAAAGCCTTGCATGGCCGCGTTCTAGCAATTGTCGCTGTTTCTAAAGCTATGTTTTAGATACATAGCATAACTTACCCCGCCCCACCCCCACCGCTAGAGTACTACCCCATCTGCCGCGCAAGCCTTATCACGACAAAGGACCCCCTAATCGGGAAAGTTGTTCGATTAGGCCGCGAATTTTATTCTCTATAGTAGGAAATTTGGCCATGTATATAAGGCTACGCATATTCGGCCAACGATACATCTTAACCAGGTGACTGCACACCCTGATTCTAAAACGCGCGAATGCAACGCCGATTGAATACTACTGATTTTCTCCCAGTGTAGTCTAGCGAAATCCATATGCTGGTAGGTGAGATTTTCACATGTCAAAACGAGTGGAGTGTTCTGAAAGACTAAATCCCGCTACCGCGCCGCCAACATTGTTCAACAGCCCTGCAGAGCTGTGGCTCACTTGGAACAATATCCATAGTATCGATGATGCATAGGTAAGTGTAGTGTGTGAGCTACAGGCAGTATAATTTGCCCAACTCATCCATGCTGCAAGTAGTCTGCGAATACGTGTTTCTTGTGCAGCATAAATGTTACTAGGTTGAACTCTGTTTTGGATCGCGTGACGTCATGGTTAAGGAAAATGACGGCACGTTTCACCTGCAAATGCATGAGCATGGAATGGCATCATTATATTTGCGAGCCCTCTTATATGACTTTAGTTTCTTACTTTCGGTTTTTACTATCATTCACCTAGCATAAACATGTCTGACCCTAGAAATATGGCTGAAATCATGAGGCATTCTGAGCGTCTCACAGATGGAGATGATGGGGTGGTGCGCTCCATCCGTGATGTACCTATCACCGAACAACGAAAACCATTCATCGACTCGAAGGACTCGAAGCTTCAGCATCCAGGTATTTTTCTTGCACATGCAATAATCCATAGCCAGATCTCTAACATGGCCAGGCACTGCCCGTGCAAATCTTGCCCCATCGGTAGAATCCCCCGAAGGCACCAAGGGTTGGAAAGAGCAGCACTCCCATCAGACCGTTCTACAACAGCATTGCGACTTCTTTGACCGCGACCACGATGGTATTCTTTGGCCACAGGATACGTTTGTTGGCTTCTACCGACTCGGTTTTGGTGTCATCCTATCCATCGTCGCCGTGTTCGTTATCCACGCCAATTTCTCCTACCCGACATGCTCTGGATGGTTACCTGATCCATTCTTTCGTAAGAGGTCCAATTCACAAACTGCAACAAACCTATGCTAATTTTATGTACCATGATTTCAGGTCTATTCCTGAAAAATGTACACAAAGACAAGCATGGCAGTGACACCGGGACATACGATACTGAAGGACGCTTTTTACCACAAAAGTTTGAAGATATCTTTGCCAAATATGCTGAGGGAAGGGATTACTTGACCATATGGGATGTCAGCAACGTGCTCAAGGGACAGCGGTGCATTGCTGATCCAATTGGGTGGGGTGGTGCATTCTTTGAATGTAGGTCTATATAAGGGTTATCGTTTGCAGAATGCAACTCTAACAAACACAGGGATTGCTACTTACATAATGCTCTGGCCTGAGGACGGCAGAATGATGAAGGAGGATATCCGTCGAATATACGATGGGAGTATATTTTATACGATTGCTGAGAGACGAGAGAAGAGTTCATGAGGTGGACGTTTTGTGATCTCGTAGGGGTTATCGCACTCGTGGGATTCATTCGATAAGAGTCATCACTGTTGAATGTGGAAAGGCACTATGACAACCATTCACATTATTGCCATATTTTGGTAGAACCTAAAATGACTAAAGTCGAATTTCTCAAATTCCAAATCAGTCTGTTCACGCTTCTTAATCGCGATAGAGAATGATGAACATGTGGCTGCTGAGAGGGCTGTTCTTAGTTAAATGCAGTAAATGGATACGCCAACACTAAAGGCGAGGAATACCTGTGATTGAGAGGGTGTGAACCTACAAAATACTCCCAGCGCAGGCTTTCAAAGTAATTGTTTTCGGAGGAAAGCCACTATCGCAGAAGTCCAAAATATAACGAGGCTTTTCGATCTATAAAGTTCACTTCCATCGGCGTGCTGCGCTGCGCTGCGCTACGTGTTCTCATTATAGATAGCGATGCTTTAATCAGGCTTGTACAACATTGATCCGGTTGTGGTGGAAAATGTGACTATAATATCTTCTTGCAACGGTGCTTATGCCTCCGCATTGCTTCACAACGATCTAGATACTCTTGGCGAGGTTGATGACATGCATTGGGTAGTTGGAAATGTCGGTAAAACGGGAGATGGTCTTGATGGTCGCCCCACACGCACCATACGTACCACGAACGAAAGGTCTTGGCAAACTCAGGGCTACGGTTGTTAGGGCGAATGATAGTACGTTCCTTCTCAATTCAACACAGAGTCTCTTTCACTGTCATCAATCTGCTGGTGACACAGCCTCATCAGTATGCTTGACAGCGGACATGTAGCCAGCTGGAAACCTATGAGGCTCAGCTGCTGCCAAGTGACCCTAGTACTAAAAAGGGAATTATTGTGTATTAGGATCATTCGATTTACAGAATTTCAGCTACTTGACTAAGCTAGGAATTAGCTAAGCCTCTTATAATGTACCCTCATCATATTCCTCAGCCTCAGCTGAATTTACTAGACCCTACTCTCGGTGTTATTTCCGGGTCATGCTCGCTGACCCTGGAATCCCACTATAATCTCATACGTATAAATAATTCCTTATTGACAACACTCACGAACATCCTCACAACCATTCTCACAACCATCTTCACAACCGTTCTCACGAACCTTGTCAAAAACATCAAATATACTTTCACAACTTTCAACATCATGCGATTCAACATTCTGCCAATGATCGCTATCGTGGCAACTTTACCAAGCATTTCTCTATCTGCGCCTACTGATTCTGTTGGCGTTCTTCCCCGCGACAACACTGCTGCTATAATTGGCACCTGGGATGACCAGAAATGTGGCATCTCGAAAGTAGATGACAGCGTCGCTGTCCCTGATGATCGCCCCACCGGTGCTTGCAAGGAGTTGCGTGGGAACAGTATGCAGGTCTTCTGGGTCAAGAAGGGGTGCGTAGGTACGTATACTGACCCGCTTCCAAAGTGCCGCAAATGAACAAGTTAATGAGCAACTCTATAGTTTTGCTTTTCAAGAACAGAGGTTGTAAAACGGACCCAACACCCGCAACCTCGCTGGCGAATGGCTGGAATCAATGTTTCGATAACAGTCGATATGTGAGCTGGACAACATATTGTGGGTAGAGTGTTGGAGAAGGCACTATGGGTAGATCAATGGGTGGGGTACTGTTGGTAGAGTGTGGTAATGCGGTTTTTGTGATGGAACTTGTAGATCGCATAATCATGGCGTAATATAGACGGGCTTTTTAAGACTTTGTAGATAATGCTAGCTGTGTGCATCAGATAGACCTCGCCAAGGACCTGTTCGGTTGCGCGTCATGTACCTGCATCTTCTATACCTATTTGCGTATGGAGCTCAACAGGGAAGCCTGGCTTGTGTCGTGACTGGACCTTCCCGAACTTCTGCAGATCACGAGGGTGCGGTCTGGCCAGGCGGCATGTCAGCTCACCATGGGAGCGCCAAGCCGTACCATGGGCCCATACTTAGATAGGTTTAGCGCCAGCCCAATCCGAATTTCCATGGT